CTGGGGCTATTTTCCCTGGTGCGTTAGGTGCTGAGAGGCGACCTTATAGAAGTTTATAAAAATAATGGAAGGGCATGGATAGGGTAATAGCCATGGTCTTTTTCCCAGGTTAGGGAGTCCAAAACTAGAAGGCTTGGATTTAAAGTGAGAGGGGAAAGATATAAAAGGGAACTAAGGGGCAACTTTTTCATTCAGAGGATGGTGTGTATATTGAATGACCTGCCAGAAGTGGTGGTGGCGTCTGGTACTATTACAACGTTTAAAAGGCATCTGGATGGGTACATGAATAGGAAGTGCTTAGACAGATATGGGCCAAATGCTAGCAAATGGGATTAGATTAATCTAGGATATCTGGTTGCCATGGATGAGCTGGACCAAAGGGTCAGTTTTTGCGCTGTACAACTCTGTGACTCTATTTGGAGGTGAGGGGATTGTCCTATGAGGGTAGATTGGTTAAAATAAGCCCAAATTCTCCAGAATTGTGGACAATGAGAGGTGACCTCATTGAAATGAATAACTTTCCTAATAGGGCTTGACATGGGCAGTGATTGTTTTTCTTGGCTGGAGAGTCCAGAACAAGGTTTCAGCCATTCACCCATGATCTTATTGAATAGTGAATCAGGCGCATTCAACCCCACAACTTCTAATTCATATGTTTGTGTGACTGCACTGAGAATACAATTCTTTAATCAATGTGAGACTGTGATTCTTCTATTGGCGAAGGTTGTAGCTGCTGAATTGTTGATTGACTGAATGATATCAATAAATGTTTTTGATAAGGTGGGAAAGTGAAGTTGATGTAGAAGTAGGTTAATGGATAGAATTGCTACTGCTGCGTCAAATTTTTTTCTGCTCTTTCTGCTTTTTCTGCCCTCACATTTCTCTCCTGATGCTATTTCCTTGCTGGGGCATTACACCACACACACAAACCACTCTCCAGCATCTTGACCAGCTGCAACCTGGATAAGAAATGTCAACTCACCATTTGACCCTGGGGGGCACTGTGGGTAAGCTCTACCCAAGACCCAAGCAATCCACTATTCAATTGCTTGTTGGCATTTTGACTGGGGTTGATTCAGTGCATGTGATTTCAATTGCACATTACACCAGGCACATTGCAAAGGGAATCTTGTTGTGCACTGCTCGTGTCCCTACCTCTGGGCTAGAAGACCTTGATTCAAGTTCCACCTGCTCCACAGGTGTGTCATAACATGCCTTAAAAAATATCTGCATGTTGCTTAGCACCTTTCACCCCAATTTCTGCATTTGGTGTGTAAAAGATTTTTTGTAAAATTAAATGTAGTTTATTGAAAATTGTCTATTCTCTGAACAATAAGGCTAAGCCACTGATGAATGGATTGCTTTGCTCTTGCATAGCGACCTCCAAATGTCTATCTGCCAAAGCACTCTGTGATTTACTGTAATTATCAGGGTCAATGCTGCCTGAGTGAATTTTGTCAGCTTCCTGATGGCTCAATCGGGTAAAAGTGAAGATGTTATCTTCAAATGAATGTATTCATGTGGCAATTTTGAAAAGTGATCACTATGACCTTTGAAGGGTTTTTTTTTGCTATCTGATGTTTTCATTTGTTGTAAATTATGAAGGATCATTTTTAACAACATTTAAATCTTTGTTGGAGGTGCTTTGGAAAAGTTGCAGTTAGCTTACAGTGTTGACATGAGTCCCTAAATTAACATACCAATAATAACACAGGAGCATAGAGCGCAGAACTGCATACCCAAGACATCACACAGAGTAATATCGACCTCATGGTTTTCTGTGATTAATTTGTGATTGTCCATATTGGGAGAATGGTTTTGCAAAATGCAACCTTTTGCTTCCTCTACATCACTGTATCTCTCACACGCTTGTAAATTCCACAATAACAATTTAATTTTATTGAATCTCTCCTGACATTGTGTTCATTGTGTCATCCCCCAAAGAACTGTCATTTAGTTTCCCTCATGTTATTTGGTTTTTAGGAGGGAGGCAGAATTCAGAATAACCAACAGTGTGGGTTTGATACTTGTTCTGGCTGAGGTAAAATAGGGATCTGCCTCCCTGCACTCCTGCCGAGAGCGGAAGGGTTTTGTAAGGTAATGGTTCCGAAAGGGTTAATGTTGGAAAGTGCATGAAGCTCCACCCAATCTGATGACATCATAAGGACTTGGATGGTAAAAGGCAGAATAGCTTTGATCCTGAGAACTGAAACCCTCTATCCAAAGGTCTCTACTTAAGCTTAGTAACAGGGAATACATTTTACCAGATATCAGCAAAGTGTCAATTTTGACAAGTTGAATGAAGTGTTTCTATCTGTGGGCCCTAGTATGTTTTGCGCTATCTTCCCAAACTCACTTCATTTCCTATGCACCATGCTCCTATGGTGGCCTCCTTGTTGTGTTCTCCTACTTGGTGGAAGTACTGCTGACAGATTCCCCTCTCTGGCACCATCTTTAAAGCCCTGGCATATACCTAGTCGAGTGGTGGCAGCTGCTGAGTGTGATTCCTGTCAATTACCCTAGACATGGTGGCACCCCACTTTGTTGGTGTTGTCCTGGAGATCCTGACGGATGGAAGTGGTGGGTACTGTCACAGCCACAGAGCATACCCTGAGATACCCTGGAGAGCTGGAGGAGCAAGTGGTAAGCTGGAGTTGCCAGGTAACCCCTCTGTTTTTCAGGGGGGGGGGGGGGGGGGGGGGGTTGGGGGCTTGTCACTGTCTAGTTTCAATGTGTTGGGTAGGTGAATGGGAAATGAAGTGAGATTACCTCATAATGAGGATGCAAATAATGTTAATGCATGCAAATTGGCTTCTTGCTACTCACTGGCAAGTAGCTCTTTTCACTCTTCAACACTTGGTTGGAAAATGGGAGCTTTTGCTGTAGACATCAGGAAGCTCCTCACTGGCCATTTCACATAATTCTCGCAACTTTCTTGCCATTGCCCACGGTGTTCTGGAGCTGGGAAGATTCTGCCTAATGTCTAACATACTAGCACAATTTGAAACTGATTGCTTTTATGCCATAAACTACATCTTGTTTAAGATAAGAACCATTTCCCATCATGCATGGTTTAACTCTACCACTGTGAGACCATTAGACTCTGAGACTCAATTAACGAAAGAGAGTAGTGGTAGCATATTTCCCCAACTCAGGCTGATGTTAAGGAGCAGCTACCTGATTCAACAGGGAAGAATTCCTCAGGGAAGACATTCAGGAGATTAAGGGTCCTTTAGATAGGGTAATGGACACATCATTTGACTTAGCAGGAGCGACATTCTCAGCGAGGAGCATTCAAGAGGTGAAAGATCCTCTGGTACAGGGAGACTTTACCCACACAGGATCTGGAGCAGAATCAAAGTCAACAGTCCTTAAGTTAAAAACCTACCAATCTTCTAAGACAAAAGAGAATACATTCTGAAAAACTTGTGAAACCTTCTGAATTTGTAAATTCAGAAACTTACAGGGAGCTGGGGTAGTAGAAATGTATAATAATGTAATAATGTACCTGAACGTATAAATGTGAACAATATGAAAAAAGCATGCAGGAAGACATTGTACAAAACATTGGTTCTAGAAAGGTTCATGTTGGAGACTTCATTAAGTTCCAGCCTATCTGAAGATGTAACATGGGATAAAATAGAACATGTTAGGATTTTGTGTGGAGTAGACATATACCCAGAGTTCTCCTAATAGGCTGAGCAAGATTATCTAAATTCTTAATGTAATGTGTGCTATCCTGCACTTGCAGTATACTCCATATTGTTTAAGTTAAGAGCCTCCTTTCGATAAGACTCAATCTTGGTTTTGCTCTACCACTATAAGCCAATGAGGTCATTCGGTCCAGTTAAGAACAGTGGCAGGAAACTACCCCAACCATAAGCTGGTAATAGTTGATATTGCAACACCTACAAGAGAAGACAATCTACTGACAAAACCTGCTCAGGTAAACAGCTCAGAATGGAACATCATCATTACAATGAGTCAAAGCCTGCCATTGAACATACACACATTATTTGCAGTGGATTGATTCCATCACAGAGGTAGTTGTGAGGATGCTTGTGTGCAGAAGCTGCTGTCATTTTGAATACTACAGTACTATGTGATATGTTGAGAACTTGCAGACATATATCTTGATTACTTGGACTATCTACTGAAACCAGACCAATCCTGGATGATAGACTGAGGAGAGTTTCTGTCAGAGATCCATCAGGTTGTACAGTAAAGTAGGCATGTTTTATACAAGCAAAAACTGTAGTTCAGTCTAAAAATCACATGAGATTCTAAAATTGTCCTCTGGCTAGACAAATGTGATATATGTTTTCTATTTGTCCAGAAATTGTCAGGACTTTGCACTGACCTATGGATTTGAATCAGTCCAATTCCAACTATGAAAGGGAAACATTTTCAACTGCAGAGGGGAGAATGGAATATAGTTGATTGCTGTGCAGCATGTTCTCAATGGGTCAAATGGCCTCCCTCTCTTTGTATTGTCATAACACTATGACACTGATATAAGCTGAACAGCCAAACGTGGCCTATTTGAGGGTTGACTTGACTGAAAGAAATGGGCATTAGTGATATCAGTAACTAGGCAGTACCAAAGACATAACTGCCTTTAATCAGCCAAGAATGTTGATATCTAGAGCTAGATACCAAAAGGAATATTCATTATGAAGAATAATGTGTTAATTTTGAAGAATTAGGCTTGCAATGTGGAATATTGTCTATAGAATAGCCTTGAGGTTTCCTAGTCTGGCTTCCAGCTTATGATTTGATCCAACAAAGGTCTAGTCCAGTGTCAGAGCTAACCGGTATTAGACCTATTAGGCCTTTTTCTGATGAAGGGTCTAGGCCCGAAACGTCAGCCTCTCTGCTCCTATGATGCTGCTTGGCCTGCTGTGTTCATCCAGCCCTGCACCTTGTTGTCCAGTATTAGACCTAGCTGTGTGAAAGCGCATGGACTATTGAACTCTCCAATGTTTTGATTCAGACTGTACCTCTTGCTGCCGTAGAGCAACCAACTGCAGCTGTTGAATGGCGTTAGTTATTTCCTTTGTCTCCACTGATGAAAGCATATAACAAATGGCTTTAACCGCCTCAACCAGACGACGTGTGCTTTTCTGTGAGAAAGCAGAAGAGTAAATTTGGTTATGCATCTTCTAGGAGTAAAGGTTGCCACAAGTTTCATAAAGGGCATGTCTCACAACTGACAAGTAAGTGGACCAAGAAAAGCCCATTGAAACAGTTTCTCTGTGGGACCTCTTTCCTTTAACTCTTTCCTGATTCATTCCAGTGCATTCTCAGGAGGTTCTCTAAGCTCTCATGTGACTGATTACTTACACAATCATATTTAGTGTTTATCATAGCTGTAGGCATTCTGGGTAATGGAACACTTCGATTGCCTAACTCAAAACGTTACTGGCAACTATGTTATATTAGAGGATGTATATTTATATGGCATTGTCCCTCAAACTTTTTAATTATGGAATCATACCATAAATGTAGCATATTAGGAGCTGTTTGGCCCATTGAGTTTGTGTTGCTTCTTTCAAAGAGTAAACCAGTCAGGCCCACTCCCTCACTCTTTGATCACATTACAGAATCTTTTCTCTTTCAAGTAAGTATCCAACTTAACACACCCCTTTTAAAACGATCAACAGAGGAAATTTTAAGGGTTTGATCTTCTGTGATGTCTATGAACACACATTGAAGAAAGATTGCAAAATGTGCTGGGAGGTTTTGGTCAGATTGCCGATGTCAACATAATCAGTAAGGTAAGGTAAGAGCACAGCTGTCAATGCTGTAATGGCTTGCATTGCAACACATACAACAGTTTTATTGCTCCACACGAATAGAGCTGATCTTGGCCAAATTCCAAACTTCAAAATTAAATCCATACCTGCATGACAGCTAAGAAAGAAGGGCAGCAACCTGGTTTGTGCCACATATTTATTCAACAGTTTGGTGATTTAGCAAGCCTTTAGCACAGCCTCTCACACCATCTTCCTGAGATTGTTCCCACAGAATGTATTGAGAACTGAGTTCTGAGTCTCCAAATAGATTCCACTTCCAACCACAATCATTTATCCCATCAGGGAACTTTGAATGGTAACACACTCTGATACCCAGCCTTTGCTTATTAAAGAAATCAAACATATTATAAGATTCACTAGAATCTTAAAACATTTAAATTCTCAACAAATTTTAAAGAGATTTATGTGGTCTATTGAGAAATAATTTAGGGAAATGCTTGAGCCAGAAGTCACCGAATAAATCTTAATAAATTAGTTATCATGTAGTGACATTAACACATGCAAAACTACATGTTGGTACAGTTTTTAAATGCATTAAATATGTATAATTGTCATTCAGACCACCCTGTAGAACAATTTTGCTGCTGATTCAAGTTTGCAATTGCTTTGGTGAATCAAAAGGGTTGTCGAACCAACTCTGCATATTCCACTCAATAACAACAGAACTGTCTGCTTTCAAGCTGCAACTGTACAAACTCATTCAGGCAGCTTCTGCATAAAAGCAATCAGAATAAGGAGATTGTCAATCAAGGCATGCTCTCTATCACCCAGGAGCCATCCACTAGACTTTCCCGACAGATATGGTTTATTTGCAGTACGCTGTGGCAATAAAGAACAGACCAAACATGTTTAAGGCATCAATCAAATCCTTCAAATGACCTTTAGGTCTCTCATCATCATACATCATTCTCTGGTGGTTAGTTCCAGGACTGTTAAAATGCTACTGTTCAGCCAGCCAGGAGGAGAAGGAGCCTGAGTTATCCTCTAAGATAACAAGGTGTAGAGCTAGATGAACACAGCAGGCTAAGCAGCATCAGAGGAGCACGAAGGCTGACATTTCGGGCCTAGACCCTTCTTCAGAAATGGGGGAGGGGAAGGGGGTTCTGAAGTAAATAGAGAGAGAGGGGGAGGCGGATAGAAGATGGATAGACGAGAAGATAGGTGGAGAGGAAACAGACAGGTCAAAGAGACGGAGATGGAGCCAGTAAAGGTGAGTGTAGGTGGGGAGTTAGGGAGGAGCTAGGTCAGTCCAGGGAGGACGGACAGGTCAAGGGGGCGGGATGAGGTGAGTCGGGAGGAGATGGAGGTGGGGCTTGAGGTGGGAGGAGGGGATAGGTGGGAGGAAGGACAGGTTAGGGAGGCGGGGACGAGCTGGGCTGGTTTTGGGATGCGGTAGGGGGAGGGGAGATTTTGAAGCACGTGAAGTCCACATTGATACCATTGGGCTGCAGGGTTCCCAAGCGGAATATGAGTTGCTGTTCCTGCAACCTTCGGGTGACATCGTTGTGGCACTGCAGGAGGCCCAGGATGGACATGTCGTCTGAGGAATGGGAAGGGGAGTTGAAATGGTTCGCGAGTGGGAGGTGCAGTTGTTTAGTGCGAACTGAGCGTAGGTGTTCTGCAAAGTGGTCCCCAAACCTCCGCGGAGACTTGGGGACTGCTTTTTCAAAATCTCCCCTCGCCCTACCGCATCCCAAAACTAGCCCAGCTCGTCCCCGCCTCCCTAACCTGTTCTTCCTCCCACCTATCCCTTCCTCCCACCTCAAGCCCCACTCCCATCTCCTACCTACTAACCTCATCCCGCCCCCTTGACCTGTCCGTCCTCCCTGGACTGACCTATCTCCCCACTAACTCCCTACCTACACTCACCTTTACTGGCTCCATCCCCGCCGCTTTGACCTGTCTGTCTCCTCTCCACCCATCTTCTCCTCTATCCATCTTCTATCCGCCTCCCCCTCTCTCCCTATTTATTTCAGAACCCCCTTCCCCTCCCCCATTTCTGAAGAAGGGTCTCGGCCCAAACCGTCAGCCTTCCTACTCCTCTGATGCTGCTTAGCCTGCTGTGTTCATCCAGCTCTACACCTTGTTATCTCAGATTCTCCAGCATCTGCAGTTCCTACTATCTCTGAGTTATCCTCTGATTTCCCTCACTTCCTCTATTTACCCTCAGCCTGCTGCCCATCTCACGGTGAATACACACTGAGGAGCTGTGTAGCCATAAGGAGCTCAAAGAGAATTGCAAACAAAGATTTGTCAATTTTACGCTATTATTTTGATTTATCTGCTTTAGGAGAGAGTGAGGAGAAAAGACTGTGCAAAATCAATTTTGTTTTGGAATGACTGGATGAAAGCGGTATTGTGAAGACATTGATTTTAAACTGATTTGTCACGATTCCTGTGTCCAGGAGGGAGAGAATGCCATTAGTGTTGGCAAGGAATTCACCCTAAACCTTCAGTTTGGGCTGTGCTATTTTTTCCAATATCTTGCACCTCCCTTATGAATGGCATGATTACCACAGGGGCAATCATGCTTGCTGTTTCAATTACAACCACGTTTCAATATTGTTGGATCCCAGGCCAGAGGTGAGTGATAATGGGAGGGGGGGGTGGTGGAAATCATTGGGTAGTGGTTGTGGGGGGAGGGATGGACATCAGTAACCATGGCAATGTGTGTCTTTCAGCTGAATCCCTCCCGTTCCAGATGCCAAGTCACTCAAACAGATACTGAATGTCTTTGAATGTGCCTCCCATGATAATGCAGTGAGTGCATGATTGCACAATTGCTGTGTAAAATAACATAAAATATCTTCTTATAACAGCACCCAAAAATTACATTTTAAAGGACATGGTGCTCACTACCATATTCTCATGGCCAGTTAGGGATGGGCAGTTTATATTGCACTGATCAGTGTCACCACATCCCATGAATGAATAGAACCTGTAAACTCAATGCATTACAATGACAAGCCAGCTCTCACTTTACAGAAATATGACACATTAAGAAGGAGAAACAAATATGTGTGAGTAGAATGCAACACTGACTTGTTTCCATTAGAATGCCCATTCCAGCCTGAATTGGGAAAGCAGAAATCGCTCCCAGACATGGACTGATAATTATTCCCTCATGGCATTTACTCTTGTAGTTGAGCTATAAGTTCCATGTTATATAACACTTCAGCCCGCATGCTCCAAACGTGCTGCTTAACTCTATAGATAAATGGTGTTCACTTATGCAAAAAGCCAAATGCAACATAATATGCAAAGAACAGACTGCAGTCCAAACTAGCAGTACATCGTTAAAAAAAATCATCCCACTTCTCTGCCTGCACGGTGCTGAATTAATTTAGATCTGACTACCTTCTAGCGATTTAATAATCTAATTCATGGATCAGTCCGTGCCAATTATAGGCTCGCTATATTATTAAGCATTCATTTAGAGGGACCATTTGGTCAGAGATCATATTATTCCTGAAGCATGCAGTGCTTGCTTAATGAGGATGGATGAATTAAGCAGACAAGTTGTTTCAAGAAGTTTTTCCAATTGGATTGTTACTTGAAATTAACTTATTTGCTGCACACAACAGGCTGTTTCACATGCTCCCATCTTACCTGATTGGTTAATAGACTGTCTGCCTCACGGTAATAGCCATTGAGCTTTGAACTCAGGGCTTTCCTGTGAAAGTAAGATTGCAAAACTTAAGCACGTCAAAGGTCATAAACAGCAAAGAAACACAAACTGACCATGTTTTATGGAAGGCTGTTAAATTTAATGCTACAAAGGTTAGGAAAGAAAAAGAACGCTTCAGAAAACAAAATGCATTAAATTAACTGTTGAAATTTCAGACCAGGCAGCTTCACAAAATATTACTTCCTACAAATTGTTTAATGAATATTTTTAAGCTGAAAGTATACTGGAAATCATACTTCATTTGGAATGTGAAAAATAAAGGCAGAATCTAATTTTATATCATATTATAGTTATTGAAGTCAAAATAGAATCTGTCTTGACTGATTTATTTTTGAAATGGAAACAAGCAGTAAATATAAAATTGAGGTGCAAGAAATTTGCCTTGGCCCAGAAACAGTGCTGAGTGATCAATGCTGCCCAAGCTGAGGGGCCTGCAGTTCAAAGGAGATTGGTTCTCAGCAATGGAAATAAACTTGTGATTTCCCAGCATTGACAGTGCCTCTATAGTCAAGTTGTGTGAACATAGCAGTCAGTGTCAAGTTACCTGTCTCGCTGGTAGCAGCCCTCAGGTAAGTGTCAGGAAGCAATATTCATGTGGGTAATGGACGGTCTGTTTTGTCTAGAGAAGTGTTCTGATCATAGCTCTTGTGAAGTTATAGAAACCTGTTTACATATGAAGATTTAGGAGTTTGGAAAAAAAAAACTTGGAGGACTGTAGTACCAGTGGAGACATAGCCCTGTGTAAATTGAGGATGAAACTGTAGGGAATGTGGATAGCAAGTGAGAAGGAAAGAAAGTGTGCACACAGAGATAATGGAATCTATTATCTACAAGACGAACAAATCTACAATGAGGATTATACCCGTACAGTATGGGATGGCAACTCGGAGGCAATAGTGAATCTATTAAGAAAATGCTAGTAACCAGAATTCATTGTCTAAATCAGAACCCACTGAGAACAATCCTGAACATCACTCATGTCAATATTTAAGGTCAGAAAGCCCAGTAAACATTTCTTACCTAGACAGGCTCACTTGACATGCACCATTTTCTTTGGGTTCAATTTGATGAAGAGTGAGTGGATTTTGGTCATCTCCCACCTGCTTGAGAGTAATCAACCATTATGGATAATTTAATGGACAGTAAGTCCATCGTGCAGATATTGAAGTTAGGATTGATAATTTTAACAAGTTCGTCAGTATTGAATCTTTGTCTCAGACAATAAAGCTCAATATTACCAAAGTTCTGAGCAAAATTGTTACTTACGGTTCGAGCTAACATCCGTTGAAGATCACTGTGTCTAAGTAGCTGAAGCTTGATGTCAATGCCAAGTTTTAGATAATGCCGTAGGCACTCATGACTCCCTAAAGTACAAGGACTAGACCAATAAAATTAAAACCATACAGTAATATTTTGCAAGGGAAAAACAACTCATAAAATCACATAAATTCCTTATGCCACCAGCAAATTCTTTATTTGTCTGAGCAACGCTGCAATATCAACAGGAAGACACAATGCTGAAGGAGAGAGAAGGAATTTATGCTTTCAAATTTGATTCAACACAGTGTTTGTTTGAAGACTTTGAATTCCAATGCTTTTCCAAAAATGAATTTAATCCCTTTGGCTAAACTAGTGTTGTTGGAGTGATGCACAAGATCTTAGACGCTGCTTTTAATGTCATTTTTTTTGCTCACTGTTAGTAACTAACTTAACATTGATTACTGGTGAAAATACATTGCTCAGTAGTTAGCAATGCTGCCTCATAGCACCAGGGACCCGGGTTTGATTCCACCCTGGGGCAACTGTGTGGAGTTTGCACGCTCTCCCTGTGTCTGTGTGGGTTTCCTTCAGGTTGTCCAGTTTCCTCTCACAGTCCAAATATGTGCAGGTCAGGTGGATTGGCCATGCCAAATTACCCATAGTGTCCAGGGATATGCAGGCTAGGTGGGTTAGCCACGGGAAATGCAGGATTATAGGGATAAGGTAGGGAGTTGGGATGCTCTTCAGAGGGTCGGTGTGGACTTGATGAGCCGAATGGCCACTCTCACACTATAGGGATTCCGTGATTCTATGATAAAAGTACTGACAGCAGGAAAAAGGCAAATTGGCATATTGAGTTGAAGCATCCTTTCACTGGAGCAATCCAGATAACTTTACAGTTAAATCCCTAATAAATGAAAGACCTAATAGAGATTGTCAGGATTGTTTAGAATTTGAATCAAGCAAAAAAGACTCCCAAGTTGAAAAAAAAACATTTTGTTTTGAGATAAGGAACTCAACTGTTCGATAGGTGGGAAGATCTCTATGGGAAAATCTTCTTTAAAGTTTTCGAGAAGAGTTGTAGATTAGGTTGTGGATGAGGTTGCAGACATGCTCGCCGTTTCATCACCCTGCTGGGTAACATCGTCAGTGTGCCTCCGGTGAAGCGTTGGTGTTCTGTCCCGCTTGTTATTTATATGCCTCGGTTTGCTCAGGTGGTTGGTGTCACTTCCAGTTTTGTTTCTCAGTGGTTTGTTTATCGGGTCCAGTTCAAAGTGTTTGTTGATGGAGTTCCGGTTGGAATGCCAGGCCTCCAGGAATTCCCTGGTGTGTCTCTGTTTGGCTTGTGCTATTATGGATGTGTTGTCCGTGTCTAGCGAGACATGAATCTTCTTCGGCATGACAGCCAAAATGCTACATCAGTTATCATTATTGCTGAGCATCGCTTTCCTGCATCAGCTGGTAAGGAACCAGGCAGTGCCATTATCAGCCCAACTGGTTCCACTCATGACCTTTTGGAACATAAACCTGCCACCCTAATCTAGTCTGGCCTATATGTGACTGGTACTACACTAATATGGCCATCTCTTAAGTGCCCTCTGAAGGACTGAGCAGGGCACTCAGTCAGATCATCTCAGAATGATCAGTGCTAACTTTGTTAGTGGTGCCTACAGCAGAAGGTTGAATGAGGAAGAAGTGTCAAGAAGGCCACACTTGCCTACATCACAAAAATCAAATGACCTATAAGAAATTGAAGTCAGTTTTAATTCACTGGTGAGGAGTGAAAGCAATGAACTGATAGCTCCTTCTTTGATCATTTGATCCACTGAAAGAGACTGTGTACACAAACCAATTTCCCACATATTATTTAATTTCTCATAAATTAATTAATGTTATTCAGCTGATGACGACTTTGGTGTTCAAACAGGAATTGTGAAAGAAGACATTCGGTTTAGAGGTGTTTTTGATCCCAGGGAACTTCAGGGAATTTTGTCTCAAATGGGACAGAACCCCTTTTAATTTGGATTTACTAATAGCTTAACTAGGAATTTTTGTTGGAAATGTAGAGTTACTTGCTTTTGCAATTAGAGACTACTTTTAGGATGTTCTTGGAGTGTGACCATAACTGAAGAGTAAAGACAAACCCTGGTGTACTTAGGGTATACTTTCTCTGCAGCCGTAACATTGTATTCCTCGCTCTGTTCTATTACCCTTATGCACTTTGTACGGTACGATCTGCCTGGACTGCACACAAAATGTTTTGTTGTGCTGAGGTATATGTGATAATAATAAATCAAATCAAAAATAAGGGCCTTGTTTTCTGGTGATTAATCTGTGAGTACATCATAGCAACAGTTTACCCTTTAGAACTGAAAGCAATTAAGAACAGAATTAGGCATTTTAACCCCTCAAGCCATTCAGTTAGATAACTGATAATTTGTACCTCAACTGAATTGCTCCATGTGAGCCCCTACCTAATAAAAAACCTCTCAATTTCAGTGTCCTCCCATACTCCCCCTTTACGTAGTCTTTTGGAAGTGGTGGAGAGTTGGGGTAATTAGTGAGGAGACAGAGAATTCCAGATCTCTGCTACCTTTATTGTTAAATTTGATAATTGCTTTTTTCTTAATTTAATAAGGCAGCAACAAACAAGCAACATACAAATGACTTACTTCTGTAAAATCTCTTCAGCACCACAGAGCTTTAAAACATAATTATTCCTGGCTTCGAACCTTTGCTGTGTATCACTCAAGATTGTCTGAATGAGTTCCTCGACAGTGCAGCCAGCTGGAAAAGTTAGAAAACAGGATTTGGCAAACCTTTCAGTAAAGATGAAATGGTTTCCTGTTATTGTTTTTAACAACCATAGGATCATGGAATCCCTACAGTGTGGAAGCAGGCCATTCAGCCCATTGACTGTACACTGACCCTCTAAAGAGCATCCCACCCAGACTTACCCACTACCATATCCCTGTAACTCTGCGTTTTCCATGGCTAATCCACCTAGCATGGACATCTCCAGACACTATGAGCAATTTAGCACAGCCAATCCATTTAACTTGCACATATTTGGACAATGTTCTTCATCACTGGTATGAAATATTAGTATCATACATCTTCTTGTACTGTTGGTGTAGTTGTGATGGAATATGTATGGAAGCACTTGTCTTGATAACCTAGTTTGATTTTGCCCAAATCTGGTAGATGGTGATTTAAATATAATGTCTGTTGTCTGTGGAATTTGAATTGGGGATGTTTGTGTAACAGAACAACTTGGGCTAAAGTCTTCACTGAAATAAATGGCATGGAAGCAGAGGAGGGTATTATATCTAATAGGCCTATGTCAATGTAACCTCTTCAACTGGAGCCATCAAAACTAATCCCATGTTTCTTGACCTTGCCCAACCAGCATGCATTTTAAATTAGCCCTTTCTATCTCATCGTTAAGTAAGTCTTAATAATGCACTTAGAAAAGCATAGTATAGTTAAACAAATCAAAATGTTTTAGAGAAGGGAAATAATGGTTATTTCATTGAAATGTTGTACAATTTTTTGAAGGTGAGACTAGTAGATTGTATCAAGCAGAATAATAGATGTGGTATACTTGGATTTCCAAAAGGCTTTACTTAAGATACCATACAACGTGAGGATCCATGAGTTTGGATGATATTTTCGCATGGATAAAGGAATGGTAAATGGATAGGAAGCAGACAGTATGGAAACATGGGGTATTTTCAAGTTGGCAAACTGTGAGAACTGGAGTGTCACCAGGATTATTGCTGGCCTCAGCTATCTACAATCTATATTAATGCTCAGGTGAAACGACAGAGAATAATCTAAGTTTACTTACAGTACAAAGCCAAGTGGGAATACAAACAGTGAGAGGACACGAAGAAGTCACGAAGAGATACAGAAAGACTAAAGAGTGGGCAACAGTTGGCAGCTGGAGTATAAAGTGGGCAGTGCAAAGTTATTCATCCTGTCATAAGAACAGTAAAGCAGAATATTTTTTTAAATGGTGTGAAACTTGAATTTGTTGATGTTGAGATAGAATTTGGTGTATTCTCACAGGGAATTCATAAGGTTAGTATACGGGTACAATAAGAAATTCAGAAAACAATATTTTTTCTTTATTCATTCACAGGGATGAGGGCATAGCTGGCTGGGCAGCATTTATTTCCTATCCCTAATTGCCCAGAGGGCAGTTAAGAGTCAACCATGTTGCTGTGGGTCTGGAGTCACATGTAGGCCAGACCAGGTAAGGATGGCAGTTTCTTTCCCTAAAGGACATTAGTGAACCAGGTGGGTTTTTCCCGACAATCGACAATGGATTCACAATCATTATTAGATTCTTAATTCCAGATATTTATTGAATTCAAATTCCACCATCTGCCATGGCAGGATTCGAACCCAGGTCCCCAGAGCATTATCTGAGTATCTGATTAACCGTCCAATGATAATACCACTAGGCCGTCCCCTACCCATTGCCTTTAATTGCAAGGGTATAGGGGCACCAGAAACAAGAAGTCTCGTTATAGTTGCTCAGGGTTTTGACCAGACTATGCCTGGAATAAAAGTATGTGATTTTGATCTCTGGGATTTAATAAAGAATTGGAGCTGGTACAGCAGAGGTTCATTAGATTGATCCTTAGGATATAAGAGTTATCCAATGATGACAGGCTGAATAAATTGAGTCTATATCCTTTGGAGTTCAGGTGTTCCCTTTGAAGCACTCAAGATTATGAAGCGGCTTTATAGGATAGAGGCTGAATTTTCCAAAAATTGGCTAGGGATCAATTTCAAGGTGTTTCATGGAGATTGTCCTTCTGAGCTCCATGTTATCGAAGACAGTTCTCTGCAGCTCATGTCATTATGTATCTGTCAAGCCTTTATGGTGTCCTGCTTGCTCTATTGTGCACTCACCAATGGCAGAAATGCCCCACACTGGTAGGACTGCCTATCTCATCGTTAAATAAGTCTTAATAATGCACTTAGAAAAGCACAGTATAGTTAAACAAACCAAAATGTTTTAGAAAAGGGAAATAATGGTTATTTCATTGAAATGTTGTGGAATTCCCAATACCATATTTAAAGCTCATCTTCA